TCACTTTCTGACACACACACGCACACACAAGTGCATGTATGGAAAGACAGATGGAGACAATGCATACAATAATCAGGTGATAATGTATGCTGTACATGAGTTTAAAAGCCCATACACACACACACATACACAAGCAGACATATGCTTCCACACAGGCCACGGCTTTAGATCCTCTTGCCAAGATCATTTGGGGTGAGCCTCACAAGTGTTTGCGGGGGTTGGAGTCAAAGGTAACCGATCCTGGCAGGCACATGGACAGTAAAATTCCACTCATCGCAGCCTCTAACAAATCATCTCTTCCATAACTTCCCTCACACATCCATAGCCCCCTCTGTCAGATCAAAGACAAAGGGAATCATCACGCATCCATACATTTGGCCTCTTTCCTCTGTTTTCCTCTGTATCCTTCTTTTCTTCGTCTCTCCGAACCTGTTTTTTATCTCTCAGCACCTCTCCATCTCACTTCTTGTCTCACGACCAGTCTTTTTTATTTACGAGGTTTATTTTGGTGAAAGGGCGTGCATGCGACAGGGATGTGTTTTCACGGATGTGACAGCAGAAAGGATCTGGGCTTATTAAGGCCGTGCCCTGGACTCATGTGGAGCTGGTTTCAAAGGTGTCAGACAAAGACAGAGGTACGTCATTCTGCTCTGCTGAATTACGGCCTAAACTCAGCCTAAACTCATCTTTGATCTGAGAGGCAGGTCATCCCTCTCTCTCCCCTCTGTCACTCACTTCATTTTGCCATCTTTGCCTCTCCGTCTCTCGCTCCCTTCATCTCTCTCAGGTTTTTTTCTTCTTTTCTTTTCTCTCTTTTTTTTTGCGAGAACCACAGCGACCAAGAATTCCTCTCTTCTACAGTGAGCGTTGGGTGAGAAATACATGAATCGCTGACTGATATCCACAGGGGATAAAAGAGCAAAAGAGTCAGTAACTTCCTCGAAAGAATATTACAGCCTTTATTTCCATTTAAAAAGGTTTTGCTGGAATACACTGAATCATCAGCTCAGGATAAACAATGAAACCTCAATGAAGAAAGCTCAAAATTGTTTTGCTTTTACATCCTAATCATGAGTTAAATATGTATGCTGTAGTGCCTTTTTTCCTAGACTGTAGGCTATGTTAAATTATCACCTTTAAAGGGACAGTTCACTCCAAAATCCAAAATACAATTTTTTCCTCTTACCTGTGGTGCTGTTTATCAGTCAAGTTTGTTTTGGTGTGAGTTGCTGAGTGTTGTAGATATCAGCCATAGAGATGTCTGCTTTCTCTCCAGTGTAATGGAGCTCAACGGCACTTGGCTTGTGGTGCTCAAAGATTTACAACAGTCATATCTCTTTACAGAAATCGCGACCCGGTTACTCAAGATAATCCACAGACCTTGTTGTGAGCAGTGTCATGTAGGAAGTACCTCTCTACCAAACTTGCTTGTGAGAGTGCATTATGTAAACATTAATGGTTTCCCCCTCAACTGAGCTATAGCCAGGCCTTTCAGCATTGCAGCCAATTTTTCCCAGTGGTCAATTGGGTATTTTGGCGTAAAAATCCTCTGTGATCTAAAAGGCATTTTCCCCATTGACCACCATTATAAAAGAGACGTCTGTAAAACTGTTGACAGGACACATCAAACTACAAACAAGGTTATGATTTTTTTGTGAAATTTTGATCCATGGAGATTTTATATTTGTACATCTTTCCTCAAGCTAAGAAAAGCAATTTAAAAATCAGTTACGCAATCACACAGTAAAGTCTATGAGCTGACTGGGAACTCATGGGCTAGGCCAGCAGGAGAAACACTACTACACAAACTGAGTGGGCCGCATACTGCAGAAGTAAACTCGGAAGCTAGAAAACTTTTTTAGTGTATGTGCCAGGCAAGCAACTCTATTGGAATCAATAGGCGCCATCTTGGCATTCGCTATCTAGGTATTATCAAAATATGTGGCTATAACGTTAGCTAATGGGCGGCACGGTGGTGTGGTGGTTAGCACTGTCGCCTCACAGCAAGAGGGTTCCCGGTTCGATTCCGGGTGTGGGAGCCCTTCTGTGCGGAGTTTGCATGTTCTCCCCGTGTCAGCGTGGGTTCTCTCCGGGCACTCCGGCTTCTTCCCACAGTCCAAAGACATGCAGGTTGGGGACTAGGTTAATTGATAACTCTAAATTGGCCGTAGGTGTGAATGTGAGCGTGAATGGTTGTCTGTCTCTATGTGTCAGCTCTGTGATAGTCTGGTGACCTGTCCAGGGTGTACCCTGCCTCTCGCCCTATGTCAGCTGGGATAGGCTCCAGCCCCCCCGCGACCCTCAAGAGGATGAAGCGGTTAGAAGATGAATGAATGAATGAATGAATATAACGTTAGCTATCTCAGTGGTGCTAAGTGAGCTAGCAGTTAATGCATGCTTCCTTCTTGTGGTAACAAATTCTGTGGCTGTAGTTTGGTTGAAGAAGAATATTTCTTACATTAAAGTGCTCACAACAAGTTCTGTGGATTGTCTTTAGTAACTGGGTCATGTTTCTAGAAAGAGACATTGCTGTTAACAAATGCACCACAAGCCGAGTGCCATCTAGTTCCATTGTATTGCAGAGAAGGCAGACATCTCTATGGCCAATATCTCTGACATTCTGCAGCTCACAACAAAACAATCTAGCCTGATAAATAGCACTACAGATAAGAGGAAAAATAAGCATTTTTGATTTTGGGGGTGAACTGTCCCTTTAAGCTTCTCACAGTTTTTCACATTATGTTTTGCAGTGGAATATGATCAGGAATGAATTCTAATCAGTTTGAGACAAGCTGTCATCCTCATCATTCGCTGCTTGCCTCTTTGAATACGAGCTTGCTTATCATTGCCCAGAGCGTATACAGTGGATGGAAAAGTGCTGGCCAGGGGCCCCTCGCGCACTTTTTCTTCTTGTGTATATGTGGAACCCACCTCACAGACGCTGTGCAGGATCAGTCTCTCACTCTGCAAGTCAAAACCATCCCCCCAGGGCATGGAGGCCTCCCGCAGCTGAGCCTGGGAGCAGGAGTTCAGAGGGCATAATCAGGGAAAGTGTGTGCGACTGTGTGTGTGCACGTTCCTCCTTTCATGCACCGTACCGCACTTATTATTTGAGCATTACTTTCATATTTGCATGTGTGAAACATTACCTGTTTTATAAAGAAGGCTGTACGAACTAGACCAGCAAAATGTGACCACACTTCGACCTGTACTGAGGTATGCCAGGCTCTGAATTAAGGGCTCTGGCACAGAGTAAAAGTAGTGTGACAGTCACCATTACCAGTGGAACCTAAAACACAAAGCAGAGCAGGGTCTCCTATAGGACAGGGGAGCTTTCAAGGGAAAATCAGAATATGTCCCAATACCAAGCGAGCACTCATGGGTTTGAACAATGTTGTGCAACTTCCAGGAGGTACTCTGTTCTGCCCCATTTAGAGCGACCAGTCTCCCCGGATGTGTCGAACACACATAACACGGGCACTCAAGATGCTGCAGTTTGATTATTTTCAGATACTCTTTGTGAACTTAAGTGTACACAGTGTAAATGAGCAAAATTGCTTCCTAATAAGAGGCAATTATTCAGTACAATTTGAATAATGATAGACCCACATTAACAGCCCAAGCCTTGTTTCCTTAATAAGTTCATCCATCATGGAGTATCACCCAAAAGTTTCTTTTTTGTTTTTTTTTTGTGGGTGAAGTAGACTACTCTGCAAAAAGGTCACACATCTTCTGTCCTCATAGCAAGCAGAAATCATGTTTTAAATGCATTATTTCAATTGTTAGATAAGTATAATTTTCTAAAGAATAACCACAATTAGATCTTTACTACCAAGAAAATTATATTTAATTCAACCTTTCAAGAGAAATTATCTAACCCCCCTTGTAGACTTCTCTTTTGTAGTTTCTGTTTTTAAATGAAACATAAAATGACTGGTGACATGACATTTTTTTTACGAGAGATAAAGAACACTGCATAGCTGAAAAAACCCCACAACAATATAGACCCGCAGAAATCTCTCGAGGTCAGTCAGCTGATGTGGACAAATTCTGCATTTTGGCAGTGGATAAATTCAGCCTCTATAATGTGAGCCACCTGTGCGCCGCTCCGTGTAGGGAAAACATGACATGACAGATGAAGAGGTGGACCGCTGACAAAACGCATGGAGAGACCGTCCACTGGAGGTATCCGCAGAAACCGGAGAGCTCCTCGGTTAGTTTAAGCCTCCTTCCTGTTTGACTTCCACATTATAGGAACTGTGAGAGCGTACCGACTTGATTCGATTAAAGATCAAGCGGATAGATTTCGTCAAGCCCGACGGATTTGTGCTTAAATCGCCCTCCACAGAGCGCATACTCCACACTGAAGAGGGATACATAGAATTTACTGCGCATGGTTTGACCAGATAGAAAAGGCCCAATGGCACACAACCTTAACACATTTTCACAGCAGTTGATTTGGTAATTTTATAGACATCAGACTTCATCTCAGCTTTCATTATGTTTTAGAGGTTTTGAGATATTTGTTTTGGGGAATAATGATTTTAATCCTTAAAAATATCTCCATAATCTAAACCATATACAGTAATAAAGATGATCAGAAGCATTTTAAGATAGATAAAATGATTGTAGGAGATGCGTAACACACGCGTAATCAGCATTATGTGTCATTATTTAACCCATAATTCATAATATGATTCATTGTGGTTCAATTTAGCATTTCAGTAAAAAACAAACAAAAAATACATAAATAAAAAAAGACCAAAAAAGCAGTTTGATCGCGCGCAAAATATGAAAACCAAACAGATTCGCGTTGCTTCTGACAGTAAATAAAGAGCCTTGTTTCAGTCACGTCAGACACATGAAACCATGACTGGTCCCTCCTGCTTATTAGCGGACCAGGACGCACACTGGCTCCCCCTCCAACCCCAAAACCCCTCCCCTTCCACTCTCAAAACTATTTAGCATCTGAAACCAGGATAAAGTTTCCAAAAAAATTTAAGGAAAAAACTTCCTGCGTGAGGAGAAGCGTGCCAACCTCCAGTTTAAAACCAGTCTCTTCTAAAGCAAGAGGCGCAGAGAGCGACGCGTCCTGAAATTATTCCCCTCATCTTTACGGATATCTACACATTTTTGTAACCACGGCTTCAAAGGTGGACAGCGTTTTTTCCGCTCTATCCCTGCATTTCTTCAAGAAAGAAATGGAAGAGGGCTCCAGTTCTCCGGTCTCCCCTGTGGATAGTCTGGTGACCAGCGAGGAGGAGCTGGACAGACAGCAGAAACGCTTCGCGAGGAAGAGGAGACACAGCAAAAAGTCCAGCGAGGACAGCAGCGGCAGCAGCCCGGGGCCGGTGAAACGGGGGAAAAAGCCGAGTCCGAGCAGCAACCAGTCGTACGAGGAGCTGCAGAACCAGCGGGTCCTCGCCAACGTGCGGGAGAGGCAACGGACTCAGTCTCTGAACGAGGCCTTTGCGTCTTTGCGCAAAATCATCCCCACGCTGCCGTCGGACAAACTCAGCAAGATACAGACGCTGAAGCTCGCCTCCAGATACATTGATTTTCTGTGTCAGGTGCTGCAGAGCGACGAGATGGACAACAAGATGTCCAGCTGCAGCTACGTTGCGCACGAAAGACTCAGTTACGCGTTCTCCGTGTGGAGGATGGAGGGCGCTTGGTCTATGTCAGCATCTCACTAGCAGCCGGAGACCTTCACTTACAATGCCAAAGCGGTGGGTAACACAAATTGAAACAAAAAAAAATCCTGCATTTACATCATCTGTACCCTGAGAAGTAACACATCTCGACGGAAATAAGGTTGTATTAATTATTGGAGGATGCTGAATAAATAAAGAGGCTAAATAAGAAAATTACTGACATAAACAAAGAGATATTAATCAATTAAAGAACAGTATGGTGATGTAGGCTGACAAAAACTGCGTGCTTTGAAATATCCTCCCAAATTCATCCCCTTTCTTGCCTTATTTTTCTGTAAAATGTGAGTTGTGTTTTGGTGATTCGGCCACGTGTCTTGGATTAGGAGGATGACATTTACAACCCACATTTTAATGCACACAATACGCAGCGAGCAACAGGTGTGTCCAGATGTTGAGATCATTACCAAAACATCAGCTGGGCACCAAAATTAAAATTCACATGTTCTAAAGCTGTGCCTGTGCTGCGCGCGTTTCGAATGTGTATGACAGATTTCACACCGAGGCCTCAGCATCTCTCCAGCGCCTGACTCTGCGTCTGCATCCGGATGCTGCTGCGCGCAAGAGCCTGGGCGACCCACACACAGCTACCTGCTCCATCAGATTACATGTCGACATATTCCCACAAGCTTCCAAACCATAACTCTGGACAAAGGAACATTTTGAGAAAAGGATTAGGCGCAGGGAAGTAGGCGGATTAATACAAATAATATTTTTGGATCATTTTCACATACCAGGCCAAAATGAAGAATATGCCTCGCTGACCAAAAAGGGCAAGTCTGGGCTATTTTTGACCAGAAAAGCATTAAATCAGCCAGTTTTTACAGTTTACTGTTAACCCCTTATTCAGTCCCTCTTAACAGCATTTCATAATGAGTGGGGTAAAAAAGAGGGACTGTGCCGCACCAAACGCAGCTGCAGTGCCACCACGGGTAATTTATATCCACAATAGAGCGCTTTCCTGTGTGGAAACCGCAGGAATGGGCAGCTCGACTGGACATGAAAGTTCAAGTCAGTGCAAGACAATAAAAAGAGAGGCCCGCATTAACAAGCAGTCGGGATTTTTGGTCACGTTATTTTGCAGATTTGCAGGCGGGTTAGCTCTTGTCGTGAGAGCGCGTGTCAGTGATGCAGTAACCCCAGAGAAGTAGTTAAGAGCCGCTCAGGCACCGTCATCACAACAGACCTGACAGCTGAGGGGAAACTTTTTCCTCAAGCTGATGTCTGCACCTCCTCACTGGTGTGATATCAGTGAACTAAACGTGCCTTTTAACAGAAATATAAGAACAGTCTCCTAAATTATGACATCATAACCAAACCATACATCTTGCCTTTTATGAATTGACACACTCTTCCAAAATAAAGGCACTGGTAGGCTATATTAATTTAAGGCTGCTTCTTATAAGATGGTGTGAATAAGGAGCACAACGCAGCTGACATTAAACATCACTCTGGGTTAAAATAACTAGGAGCCGGGTTTGTTTAGCTTTTACGGGCCTGACATGTAGTTAGCAGACCGCCCATCAGCGAGGCTTTGTTGTCTTAAAAACCAACCCTGGTGCCTTGGGGGAGACGAATAAGCATCATTACAGTGATTTGTGTACGCACAGCAAATTTGAAGGTTTTTTTTCCTGAGTTTAATTGACCTCCGGAATGTTAAAGAAAATAACAAAGCATGGAAAAGTGCAGTTTCTTTTTCAAAATATGTGGCACACACACACATTAAATACTCTGTCCTCCTGGTGCAAATATAATATTCATTTTCTTGCATGCGTAAATTAAAATGGGCAACATTAATATCATAAACATGCATTAGGCCTGTAAAAATAGCCTTTACAAATCGTGACCCTGCTGATATATTTCTATAATGACTCTGGGCTTAATGTTGCTCCGAGGAGTTAGATTTTATTGTTTTAGGACTGTTTGTTAATCCACAGCGAAATGAAAACGCGTGAATTTACTCAGGTGTTTCACACTAAAAGTCAGTGAAGGTGTTTTTTTTAAAAAAAAAAAAAAAAAAAAAAAAGTGCATTTCTCTGCAGCTGCAGGACTTCATTCAAATACAAAATGTTCCTGCTTTTCTGTTGCCATATGGTTTTACTCAGCTCAGTGGCTAATAATTGATTCATTAATGACTTCCCACATGCTTAGAGAGCCAGTGCCTGTTTAATAAAACATCAGATATATCCGCAGTGGGAGATAAAAAAAAGCTGAAATTAATAATTGTCATGCGTCCAGTTAGTTTGCATTTCTATTGCAATAATGATTTTTCATCTCTGTCCCTCCATCACAGACTGTTTACTTCTACAAAGTATGAAGACCAAAGGGATTATTGAAGAACCCATCGACCTCAAAGGCATGGCGGAGAGACGTAATGTGACCCACAACTACAAACTCTTGGGGAGCGTGTGTGTGTGTGTGTGTGTGTGTGTGTGTGTGTGTGTGGATGCAGATTCATCACACTGCTTCTGACTGTCTGGAGCTGTTTGTGGCAGAGAGGGGAGAGACAGACCTGCAATGTGTATAGGCCAGACATGTTATAGCGAGTAGCTCGGCCTGTGCTTCCACAAAGCCATCCTTTAACCGTGTTTTTTTAAAGAAGGATATATATTTTGTTTTTCAAAGACTTTAAACCAAAGTATAAATATATATAAATGAATGCATATTGTACATACCTGTGTAAGTGCGCCTATAGCCTGTAAAAAGGGACCAATGCAATTTAGAGTCATTCGCTGCATGGATTTATTTCACCGACTTTCTTTATCAAGTCTCCAAACTCCGTCCAATGTACATTTTTTGTTTTTTTGCTTATTTATTAAAACACATATTTTTGAACGAAATCTGGTTGATTATTTTTTTATTATTATTATTCCAGCTGTGGATTTTAAGCTATGACATCACAGCATGTTGGGCTGAATAAATTCCATTAAAATAAAATTCATGCAAGATTCTGGTGAATGATGATGACAATGAAAAATCAGTTATTTAGAGCAGCCTGTGGTTCAGGTTCCTCATGTGGCTGCTAGATGTGAGGGTAGAAAAAAAAGACCAACACCACAACAACACTTTTTTTTTCATTGCTGCTGGGTGTGAGAACTCCCCCCTTCTCTCTCTCCTCTTCTTGTGATGGAAAGAAAACGCCGACTTAAAAAAAAAAGGGACCATAAAAAAATACAGCTTCATTAACAGTGGAGGAAATTCGAGCCAGTTTCAAACTCAGCCATATAAAATGCTTGTCCGCTTAAATAACGAGTAATCATTTCAAATGTCGACGCCTTTGGGCTCTTTAACGAGCAGGGAGCCCCAATGACCGCAGATAAGGACAATAACTCTCGGCCTGCAGCTTTCAAAAAAAAAAAAAAAAAGGAAAAAAAAAAGCCAGGAAATAGAGGGACTGAAGAAATTCCTTTGAATCTCCCCCAGCTTACTCTTAAAACATTAAAATTGTTTACATCTCGTTTTCCCAGACGTGGTTAGATGCAATCTAAACACTGAAAGGACCTCATTGTTAACGCGGGGCTACTGGTGTAAATGGCAGGCTGACTCTCTGGTGCTGTTTCAGCCAAACTTTGCACTGTGGCTCTGCTGCTGGAATCCTCACCCCCAAGTCACACTTTATCTCCAACAAAACAAACATTCCTGTTATTTTAACTTAATCTATATAACATTTAAGATGCAGCAATCCATTAGATGACACACTTTCCCCAGGTGGAAAACTGCATTACAAAATAAAAGTATTCAGGTGATAAAAAATGCCACATAGCACAATGCTGCTGCTGTAAAATCACTATTGTTTTCCACAGGCTGAGCTTTCTGAGAAATTTTATAGTATTTATTGCCAGTCTGTCTGATTTTCTCAAGGTCAGTGTGGTTTAAAGGGGAAACACCTGCGAGCACAGTGGCTTTCCCCTTCTGCAGCTGATGCACCAAACCCACATTATCCACTTATTTATTAGAGGTAACACACACTCTGTGTCACATGAATGTATATATGGACGTTTCACACACTGAGCTTCCACATTTGTAGTGCCTACTTTGTGTTAAAGTGCTCTCCCTCGTCTGAAGTGATTAAATTGATGGGTGATCTGAGAGCAAAGCATGAGTGCATTGCATTTTTTAAATTTACCTTGGTGTTCACCAGTGTGGCTGCATGGGAGGGACATAAAAGGAGAATCAGCTTTATTAATTTCATGACCATGGTTTTTAAATTGAGTGATTTATGTGTCACAGAGAAGTGTGTGACACTGTGATTTCTGTGACTAACTCTAATCATGCTGGTTCATGACATGGCCCTCCATGCATCAGGCCCTGCAGTGACAAACCAGAGAAGCCGGGTGGATCATACACACATTTCCTTCTTAATTCTAATTAAATATTCCTACAGTCACTCTTTGAGTCATAAAAGGCAAAATTTTTCTTCAGACTTCTTCTAATATTCTATAGTAACATGTCGGAACATTTGGCACGGTGGTCTCGGATGCTGTTGGACAGCCCTTCCTACCTAGGCCGGCTTATCCATAGGAGCCCGTTTGATACCTGCTCATTATCCCGGGCCCTCACAGCTGAGCAGCACAGAATCACCCGGGGGCCACTGCTCCAGCGGTGCGAGAGATCCAGATGTTTCCCGTAAAATCAGACGGAAAAAGCTACAAAACTTTAATTTGCAGTAAAAAGGGAATAAAGTAAAGGTTTACACTCTGTGTGCCTCAAACAGTATTCTGTGTTCGTCTGGTTCAGTAAAAAAAAAAAAAAAAAAAAAAAAAATCCCAAGGTTATCCTTATACCACTTTGGAGGCTGATGTCGGTATGGCTGAACTTCCTCTGTGTGTATGTGTGCGTGTGTGTTGGCAAAGCTGAAAGTCAGCTGTCTTGGCCGCCACCATGGCATACATACAGCATGACTCAGACTTCAAATACACCTCAAGTATTGATCTTTCTCTGTCTTTCTCTCATTGTGTGTTGTGGAAGATTATTTGGAAAAATAAATCAAGTGAGCAAGCACACAGGTTTCGTTTCAACATTTGGTAGGGGACACACGTGAAACAGGGGATTTAGGGGTCCTTCTGAGCATCAAACATTTAATTTCCTGCAGTCTGGTGAGTTTTTAATGCACTAGTTTGTTCCTTTTCTGCATCAATATGGTTAAATGTCTGTAATTTTGACAAAAGTGCTGCTTCTTTCATGTTTTTACTGGAGGATACAAATGCACATGTTCTAAATTTTGAGGGGATGTGTCCCCCGTGTCCCCCCTAAATCTACACCTGTGCAAATTAGGTGCACATAACGATTACTGTTATTAAATTAAATGACAATTCCTTGACATATTGGTCATATTACAAGAAATGACATGCTGTTCATGTCCAGAACAAAGCATATTTAGTAATAAGACATTTTTAACAAAGAAACAGCTTACTGTAGGAAATAATAAAATTATGATTTGCTATTAAATTGGAATAAAAAAATCATTTAAAACTGGAATATTCCACAAATTATTGTGACTTTTATGCTGCACTTGCTCAGTTAGTTTCAATATTTTCAGATCAGTATATCTTTGCTGTGTAATGCACAGAAACAGGTGCTGAATGCATAAGGCACAGAGATTATTAGATATGGTAATTTCAAGAAAACCACTTTATTTGTCTTATGCACTGCACATGGATGAACTGTCTTTGGCACTGGTGTGTGCAGACATATTGACAGCTAAACTAACAGAGCAATCCTGATGCATTTCCTAAACGGACAAAACCCTCACACAGTGCAGAGAGAGAGAGAGAGAGAGATGCCTCTCAGAGGAACCTGGCAGAGCCTCGGCTGTCAAGGCTGCCTGGATGAAAAGGAATTAGCAGAGGTTCTGGCCTTTTTCTTCAGCTCCACTCTGCCTTTCCTTCATTCCATCATTTAATCAGGGTCCCTAAGACTTTGATCCTGCACAGGAGAGCCCCGCTGCATTATCATCAGGCCTCAGGGCTTGTGCCTTTTTTTTTTCTTTATTTCTTTGGAGAGGGTGGGCAGACACAATTCTATACATTCACTGACTGAATTCTGTCTGATCCAGCAGCAATATTTGCTGATGGAGAAGAGAGATTGATATTAACTTTAAGATATACTAAACCGGTCTGAGGACTTCAATCAATTGCTTCCAGTCATAAAGCTTCTCCTCTCAGTCTGTCTAGATTCCTCTCAACCTCGGGTGGTTATATATCCTTGAGAGACGCTAAGACTCTCAAACTGAGCTACAGGAGAGGTTATTATCCCCATATACCTGTTAAAGCATCCTTGAGAGAACAGCTTGACCCCACTCTGCTCCTGGTGTTGCAGTCACTGAACCTGTGAAGAGAAAGAAAATGTGAAATCACCCCGAGTGCCCAAATCTGCTTCATACCCTTCTGCTTACAGTATCCAAGGAAAAGAACGGGAAAATTCTGAAAAATCCCTCCATTTTCCACTCCCTTGAAGCTCACTGTGAATCTTCTTTATTAAACGACTGAATGCTACTGTGGATGTCATCGTCTCACCTCCAAAATCTTTATCGCATGGTTCATCGGGGGTTTCTTGTGGACTCTGGAAGCTGGGGGAGTGGAGCTGGACAGGAAAGTGGTTGTAAAAGAAGTCCTGCTAGGAGTATAGGGTGTGGGATGCGGACTTTTTCCTTCATGAGTGATGCAGATAACATGTCTGTGGTGCCGTCAGGAGAAAGAAAAAAACACTTTCATTTTTTTATTTGTGTCATATTGAGAAACTATCTTTAATCTGATGTTGTTGCCATGTGGATGCAGTCAGTGTTATGTTTTTGTTTTTGTTTTGGATCACTGTCATTTAAAAAAAAACATGGATGAGATCAAGGCCTGTGATATATATTAATGTTTGTGCAGATGCTTCCATTTAAATCCTCTGTGGGGCATGATGGGTAATTAAGGTGTCTATTACAAACTGTCCAAACCATAAAGGTTTTTGTTGCACATTTTGCTGTTTCAACTAGTATTGTGTCTGGGTTGTGTTAAAAAAATAATCGATTAGGAAATAAATAAATAAAGTGATAACATGTGGACAAATAATCAACACTGAGCATTATTAGATGTGCACAACACACACACACACACACACACACACACACACACACACACACACACACACAGCCTTTAGGTGAGCAGGTTTTGGGGAATATCTATGGGAATGTGTCTGTACTGCATTATTCTTTATGTGTGTACTTCGGCCCTTGGCTCTGGGCCTTATAGCACATCTTCTTTTCTGGCATTGTCTTTTGTCCATCTGGTCTCATCTGACACATGCACACACACACACACACACACACACACACACACACACACACACACACACACACACACACCAAGTGTAGACCAACTGCTGTGGACAACATTATATAAACTGCGTCATTCCCTGTTTCCGTCATCCGTTCCATTTCTGGATAAATCAGCCTTCCCCATCCTCGACGTATTTCTCCACTGGCATTATCTGGGACTTTTACAACAGGGTGGCTAAGAAGGGTACAGGCTGAAGCGAGGGTAGCAATGATTATTACATCTCTGTGTCCACAGAGTTGGAAAATATCTAACTTTAGGGTCACTGATGTTAGCCAAACGATAATTACAGCTTTCCTAACCAGTTCAGATGAAGGGCAAGTTGGAAGATGTCATCTTGACAGGGAAACGTTTTCGAGGCATTTACCATATTCACAAATAAACAAATACACAAACAAGACTCATTAACGTGGTCATTAATTTTTCTATGGCATGCTACATTTATCTTTGCCAGATACTCAGTGAATCAGGTCAGTCATTAAAGAATCACTTCACTGACATCTTGCCCTGTATTGCTGAGA